GTGTAATGGTTTTCGTATGGGCCACAGTCCATGCGTTCACCGCGAATTTCTTGGTTGCACATAAAAGCATTTTTTGAAAGGGTGGCTATAAAACAAGAAGACCCTTCGCCAAATAGAACACAAAGGTCCATGCCACAAAGGTTTATGGTTTGGAGTTTAAGTTTTGGGGTTTAGGACTCGCGGGGTTAGGTGATTGCCCCTTACCAGAGTAGTACTAGCCCGTCATGAACTCACATAAGGACAGCTGCTGAAGCTTGTACAGCGTTTATGTTGCGATACATATATATATATATAGGAATATATGAACATATACAGACTATAGAACTAGTTCAGGGATTCAGGGCTTAGAGTTCAGGGTCTAGACATTACAGTATAGGTTCAAGAGCCTATGAAAGTATCAAAAGTTGGTTCCAGCGTTGCAGTGGATGGGGGTTTGGCCTTCGCTGTACAGCATCTGCCCAGATGAGCCCAGTTAGGCTGAAATGTATATATCACCAATTTCAAAGCTGACCATCAATCGCATCTGGGACTTGTCCTAAATTACTGTTTCCTAAATGAGGGAAATCAAGAGAGGGACCCATTTTTACGAGCGGCAGGTTTGGGACCCTATTATACCACCATACCAAATATAGGCAATCCCCATATTCCTTTGTAATCAGTCTTATTGGCTGATCCAAGATAATCTTGACAAGCAGGACAAGTCCGTCATCAATCTCTCCTTTGTGGACCCTAAGCCCATACACCCTACAGGCACCTTGCATAAAGCCCTAGCACCTAATCTATGGTTTGTAAGAGGACAGCATGGTTGCAAAACACAAATTCTGAAACACACATCTGAGACAAGAAGAATACACAAACATCTGCACGCAATGCAAAATGATTCAAAAACACAAATTCGAAGACATCTACAATTTTAATTCTAGCTTGACATACGATAATACGATTCAAAAATCTCGCTCTAAGAGAAACCACTTTCATTCTAAAGCATCGCTCCTAAACCCTAAACCTCCGAGCCCGGAACCCCTTTACTTTAAACACCTAAACCAAGCCCCCCCCCCCAAAGGCTTCTGGTTTCCTAGCTTTGGAGTTGCCGGGCCACAGAGAAGTGTACATTCTTAACCTGGGTTGGTTTATGTACCGCGAAATTCTTTGTATCTGGGGTGTGGAATTCAGGGTTAAGAGCCAGGCAGGTATATTGCGAGAGATTCGTATTCTCCAGAATATTAAGAGTAAGGAACCATAGGGGACAACCTGCTTATAACTTGGGATTTTTCCATACACTGATTTTATCATAAACGAAAAGCGGCTAAATCAAAAGTTGATTATGTAGCTGCTAAAACAAAACGTGGGGGAGAAACCGCAAATCAAGCTTGCCGTGAACCCTACACCCTGAACCCTAACCCTGAACACCAAACCATAAATACTGAACCCTAAACCGCCACATGCTCAATCTGGGAAAAGAGCAAGGTATCGATGACCAGTCTCGCGTTGCCCATAGCCTGGGACAGGTTTTGGTGGGCTTCAGGTTCTTGGTTCAGAAATGACTTAGGATTCAGGTTTAAGGTGTAGATAGGTGTAAGACTCAGGGCTTGGGGTTAGGATTTAGGGTCTAGGTAGGGTTTGGGGAATATGGGGGAATACGTTCGGGTGGGACTTCCGAAACTTTGAATTTAGTCGGGTTGGGGAATGCTTTCACTGGGGAAAAAAAAATCTATATGTGGATGCATAGAGTTCTAGGAGCTCAGGATTCTGCAGTTTGCGGTTTTAAGGGCTACAGGTCTTCTGCAGGGGCCTGAATGCTCAGAATTCAAGGTTTGCGCTCTCAGCTCCATTCGCACAATGTTTAGGTCTTGGGTTCAGGTTCGGGAATCGGGGGCTGGCGTTTCAAGGATTGGGTGAGGTTGTCAACAAACTGCGAATAAAAACCAAGACGGGCAAAGTTTTCTCGCCACAAGTAAACGGTCGGACAAACTGTATATGACAAGTCCGCTGACGTTCTGCATACCCTTCATAGATTTCAGGGCTGTACTGCTGGTCTTGTTCCCTCGTCGTTGAAGGAACTTTAGTGAACTGCATTGGTTCATATGACGGTTACATAGAAGAACCATTTAGAAGTACGGACACACAATCGGAAATCTTGAGCCCTTCGAGCGGCACGTCCCCTTGTCTGGGTGCCCAAGTTTTAGAAGTTGTGATAACCAAAGCCGTCTAAGTACTAAACAAAACCCTCAGGCTACAGCGTTTGGGATCTCAGACTCAGACTGAAGTACATGGGTACTTGACACCTTCAGGCTTAGTGTGAGCCTACACAGGCACAAGTGAGTTGCAGTCAACATGTCCTATATAATCAACAAACATAGATTCCTAGGACTATGCTAAATTAACTACCTAAGGAACCCCTACATCCACTCTTAGTGGTCCCTTGGTAATGCGGATGTGACCAACTTTGATTTAGAACTGTGAGCCTGCCTCAAGTCAACCCCGGAACCCCCCAAGCCCTAACGCAAACTCTCCAACTCGCGGCACCTCCATCAACCCTCTCGTGGACTCTGAAAGGATCCGAAAATTTGATATGATTCAAGAAATACATGTTTTCGGGTGCTTCTGGCTGTAAGGTGTCAAACTGTTGGATCAACGAGACTGGAATTGTCTGTTTCCATTTTACCCCCTGCCCTTCATGATCCCAGCTACACGGCCCGAACCCTACCCGGAGAGCCCCATATCCCTCAATATGATCTGTCCCCTATACCACACTTCCTACGATCCCAATCCGATGTGAAGAACTTTCCGCGGTATGGTGCTTCCTGGTTACACCATACCCTAAAAGCTAAACTCCTAGACTCCGACCCTAAGCCCTAAGCC